ATTATTCATACTGGAGAGAAACCCTACAGATGTGAAGAACATGGCAAAGTTTTTAACCAGTCCTCACACCTTACTACACAAAAGATAATTCATACTGGAGAGAACCTCTACAAATTTGAAGAACATGGAAAAGCTTTTAACCTATTCTCAAACATTACTAACCATAAGATAATTTATACTGGAGAGAAACCCCACAAATGTGAAGAATGTGGAAAAGCTTATAACCGATTCTCAAACCTAACTATACATAAGAGAATTCATACGGGAGAGAAACCTTACCAATGTGCAGAATGTGGCAAAGCCTTTAACTGCTCCTCAACCCTTAATAGACATAAGATAATTCATACTGGAGAGAAACCTTACAAATGTAAAGAATGTGGCAAAGCTTTTAACTTATCCTCAACCCTTACTGCACATAAGAAAATTCATACTGGAGAGAAACCCTATAAATGTGAAGAATGTGGCAAAGCTTTTAACCAATCCTCAAACCTTACTACACATAAGAAAATTCATACTTCAGAGAAACCCTACAAATGTGAAGAATGTGGCAAATCCTTTAACCAGTTCTCATCTCTTAATATACATAAGATAATTCATACTGGAGAGAAACCCTACAAATGTGGAGATTATGGCAAAGCTTTCAACCTATCCTCAAATCTTACTACACATAAGAAAATTCATACTGGAGAGAAGCCCTACAAATGTGAAGAATGTGGCAAAACTTAATTGATCCTAAAAACTTACTACACATAAGAAAATTCATACTGGAGAGAATCTCCACAAATGTGAAGAATGTGTTAAAGCCTTTAACAAGTCTTCAACCTTTTCTACACACAGAAGATATTTTATACTGGTGAGAAATCCTACAAATGTAAAGAATGTGGAAAAGCTTTTAACTAATCTTCAAACCTTACTGAACGTGAGAAAATTCGTACTAGAGAGAATCCTGCAAATGTGTAAAATGTGGCAAAGCCTTTAACTGGTCCTCACTTTTACTAAACATAAGGTAATTCATACTGGAGAGAAGCCATATAAATGAGAAGAATGTGACAATGCCTTTAATCAGTCCTCACACCTTTCTACACTTAAGAAAATTTATACTGGAGAGGCACTCTATAATTGGGAAGAATGTGGCAAAGCTTTTAACCAATCCTCATACCTTACCGTACAGAAATTCATACTGGAGAGAAAGTCTACAATTGTGAAGAATGTTGCAAAGCTTTTAACCTTCCTTAACCCTTACTGCAGATAAGAAAATTCATACTAGAAAGAAACCCTACAAATGTGAAGTCTGTGGCAAAGCTTTTAACTGATTCTCAACTCTTAACTACATGTAAGAGTATTTATACTGGAGAGAAATCCTACAAATGTAAAAAATGTGGCAATGCCTTAACTGGTTCTCACACCTTGCTACACATAAGACAATTTATACTTTGAGAGAAACCCTGCAAATGTGAGTAATGTGGCAACACTTTAAACCAATCCTCAAACCTCACTAAACATAATACTGAAAACTTTACAAACCTGAATGATGTGACAATAATTTTGACAACACCTCAAACTTCCTAACATAAATCATACTGGTGAAAAATCCTAGAAATGTGAAAAATGTCACAAAGCCTTTAAATGGTTGTCACACTTGATTGTAGGTAAGATAATCCATACTGAAGAAAACTCCCAGAAGTGTGAAGAATGTGGTGACACTTTTAATAAATGCTCACCCCTTATTGCACAGGAAATCATTTATGCTTCTGAAAGATTGTACAAATACAAGGAATGTGGAAAAGCCATTATTATCTGCTCACATTTTACTCAACATTAGAGAGTACTTAATAAAAACATTACAAATGGAATTTTTGTCAAGAGATCTTTCAGAAAATATAAGCCTTTAAAGTGAAGAAGAGGAGCCAGGTATGCTGGCTCACATCTGTAATGCCAGCACTTTGGGAGGCTGAGGTGGGTGGATCACGAGGGCAGGAGTTTGAGACCAGCCTGGCCAACATAGCAAAACCCCATCTCCATTAAAAATTTTACAAAAATTAGCTGCATATGGTGGCACGCCCCTGTAATCCCAGCTACTTGGGAGGCTGAAGCAGAATTGCTCAAACCTGGGAGGCAAAGGTTGCAGTGAGCTGAAGTCACACCACTACACTCCAGCCAAGGCAACAAGAGCAAAAACTTCGTCTCAAAAACAAAACAAAAGTATTCATTAGTATTCATTTTGAAGACAAGCGTTACAAATACGAGAGGGTTTTAGTACCTTTACTTGTATCACAGATATTGTTGTACCCATTTTGTACTAGAGGAAAACCCTGAAGCAGCTGCTCAAACTTTGTTCACCAGAAAATTTATGTTGGAGAAAAACACTGTAAATGTAATGCATTTGGAAAAACGTTTTTAAAAAACTGCAGCTTAGAAAATACCAGAGGCCTCATACTAAAATATATTTTTGCAAGTGCAGTAAATATAAAAATAATTTAATCCAAAATTAAGTCTATGTAAATATCAGAGAATTCACAGTAGAAATATCTAAGGTATTGACACTTCAGACATTGCACTAAATCAGAATGCTGAGTATAGAAAATAATTTAAAGCTAAAGTT